TTTATATATTTATCTCTAAACATCTTCATGTTGACATGAAGACGAGTTTCACTAGTCTGGCCCACCTGAGATCAAAGTGGGCCACGATGTAAAATGAGTTTGGCCCCCCTGCTCTACAACACTGGATCCTTTCACACTGGAGCTAAACATCCTTCTTCTCATAGGGGTGAGAGAGATGTCACGACAGTACTACCTGTTATTTTTAGGCAGTAGCTGCTGAAGTAGACCAATAGTATTCTTTCAACGGGCTAATTTGCCCCTTTAAACAATAAATGATGGAGCATCGCTTTGGTTCTTCTGTCTTATTCTGCAAACAAACCATAAATGAGCAGTTTGCAGGGTTTTAGGTCTGCCTGTATCTGCAGCTGTGCTCTGCTTACTGCCTGAACACACACACACATTACCTCTGACCTTGTTTGTTGTCTGTACCAGAAAGGGGCAGGTTACCATCTGGATCTGTTTTGGGTGGCTGTTCTGCTAGCGATTTGCTCCTTCATGGGTCTGCCGTGGTACGTGGCCGCCACCGTCATCTCCATCGCTCACATCGACAGTTTGAAGATGGAGACTGAAACGTCGGCTCCCGGAGAGCAGCCAAAGTTCCTGGGTGTGAGGTAAGAGCAATGCTTGTTAGGAAGACGCCCCCTTTCTGGACTGTGGTCACATACAGCCCGATGACAGTTTTAGTTTGACTGTAAGAAACGAACGGCTTTTACATCTGATCTGCAGGTGAGATTCCAGGAAGAAGAAGGCAGAATCACTTGGTTAGATTTGGCCAACATGCATCAAAGAGCAGTAAATGGATAATCTTTCAGATATTTCATTCACTAAATTGAAAATGGAATTAAGTGCTTTCAGATGAAGGATTGTGGTTAAAACAGGAAGGTCCATGAAGAAGGACTCATGCTGTGATCTGCTCAAACACCAAGTGCTCTGCAAATGGCCCGAGTGTTGCAGCAGCAATGAATCATTTTGAGATGTGATGAACACAGAAGCAAAAACCTTCCTCAAAAATAGTGTCGTTGAAAGATGTTGAATTGGTTAAAATATGAGAATTTCTTTTATTTTCTTAGCACATATGTCATGTGCACTGGAAAGAAGGCTGTTCATGCCAGAAATGCTCAAATTAGCCACACTTGTTTCAATTTCCTACTGTTAGATTAGCTGATTAGTCTTAGTTTAAAATTATTAACTGATTAGCAAATAAGCAGCTAAAGACATCCCTGCCTGCTTCAGGTAGATTCATGTTGAAGGACTCAATGACAGATGTTGCAGCTGTGGCAGTTTGAAGCCTCAGATTTCTTTAGCCGATCACTCTGAATATGAAACCATATACTCATTGTTAATGACCTTTAACTGACAAGTATTCCTCCATTGTGAAACATGGTATTACCAGGATTTATGAAGCAGACTCTGATTTGTTATTCAGTATGACCCCAAACGAGTGACTGAGCCCATAAACTCGTCACAACATGTTCACAGAGGTCATGACAGGAAGGTGTTTTTCCATAAACTGCTATAGGACCAAAGGCTTTTTTTGCAACCGCATCTATCGCCATCTGGTGGCCTTCAGATAGAACGCAGGCTTAAGGCTTCATGTTTCTGACCTGGAAGTGACGTCTGTGCTTTTTAACGTGAACACGATCTCTGAACAAAGTGTCTCGATCAATATTATCATTCAAATCATAATCAATAAACACATATTGCTGTTGGCTTGTTGTCAATATTGTTCATTCAGTGTTTGGTCTCAATAAATATCTCAGAAAAAGCAGCGTGAGACAACTTTAACAAATGTTCTTTTTTTCTCATCATCTCAGGTTTTTATCTGTATTTAAATTAAGCTGTTTTATTGGCAGTATTAACATATTTTATTTTCAGCATCTTGCCTGGTTCTTCCTTTGTGTTCATTTTAGTTTGTTTTCATGTCTGACGTCCTCCCCGGCCTCCTGATGTGTCAGCTGTAAGCTGAGCTAACAAACCGTAACACCAGAACATCCACACTAACTCTGAACCCTCTGCAAACACTGGTGCTGTTTTCTTTTTCTTGGCTAAACTAATTTACGAATTGGCAACTGACTGCCAGGCTGCTTCAGATCATGACTTTATAGCGAGCAGGCTGCTCAGACGCTGCAGTTTTCGCTCTTGTGTAAAATGTATTTTTCTGTCTTTTTGCAGAGAGCAGAGGGTCACGGGTGTGTGCGTGTTCATCCTCACAGGGCTGTCTGTGTTTATGGCTCCAGTTTTAAAGGTAATCAATCAGATATTGATTTTATTTCTTCTCTTGTGATTGATCTGTTAACTTGGCATGCCAGTTATAAACGGTTTATAAGTTTAATCAATGTCCTTCTAGAAGCAGGTCTTATTACGTAGCGGCCATGTTGGTAACAGCTCTGGGGAGGAGTTTGAATTTATTTTCAAGCCTCTGACTATAAATCAACAAACAACAATACATTTTAATAGATCTAGAGACATACAATGCAAGTACTGCTTAAATGTGATTTACAAAAATGCTAAAAAGCTCTTTTTAGTTATACTGCACAAAGTTAAACAATATAAAGGCAGTGTAACTTGGCTTCATCGCCATCTCTGAACAAAAGCCATGATAATTCACACTATGCTCCTGCAAAAAATGCAAAAAAACACAGCTAATGTTGAAGGAGCTCGGAAAGAAAAGCATCTGGACTTCTTTAGGTTTCTTAAAGATGTTTCATCCGAGAAGCTTCTTCAGTTCTAAGAGCAACTGGTGGAGAGTCGCAGATTTTAAGCCCTATGGGAGGGTCCCCAACAGGGTGATGGACCCCTGATTGATCCTCTACCTGATCAAGCCAAGGTGTCATCTGGGACCCTCTTTCCAACCTCCTTAGGCTACGATGACCTGGACCACTGAGAGCCCTCACAGACACAGCTGATATGTCCCATTTCAGTTTAATGGGTTTGAATTCCAGTTGCTTTTACGTGACTTTTCAAATCTGCATCAAAATGCAACGACTTAAACTTGAAATGAAGTGAGAACACAATAAAGTGGTAATAGTTTGTCTAATATGGCCGGTGGGTAATATTATTCTGAAGACTGTTTAACCTGTTCTTCAGGTATCAGGACATAAATGAAATCGGACTTCTCTGCTTTTTAACATAGTTTTCGTTGGTCAAATTAAATTTAAAAGAATAAATGGATTTCTTTATCAGGCTGCCCGTAAACCTGCATAATAAATACACTCACTGATTACTGATAAGCTGCTATCTTATCAGAATCTTTATCGTCCCTGCAGCAATGAGACGCTGAAAAATGACATTGAGGTCCAGTTATCTCAGTGCAAAAGAAGATCGCTCAATACGATAAAAATAAACACACACACACACAATAAATACTTATGTGGATGAAGTCAAAGATCAGTGGATTTTTTTTTTAAGTCCTTCTTGACGTCAGTTGTCTCTCAATGAGTTTTACAGCAGCGCCATTAACTTTGATCTTCGGCCACTCAGAGGCCAGACTCTCTCACAAACTTTCGTAAATGTTCACAAACTTTACAACCCAAAGACTTTTGCATGCCGAACACGTGCCAAGTTCCTTGAGAGAGTTTTATATGCAGCTTTCCCTCGATTTATACAAATCAGCCCATCTATCAGTAGATTACAAAGATTAGATATACTTATTCTCACCTCATATTTTAAATTCAACCTGTGAAAGCTGGGTTCAAAAAGCTGCCATTGGTTCCCTTTGCAGCACAGACGGTGTGTAAGTAATTTTATACTTTTAACGATATTCAGCTGCTCTTCTTTCCTGCGACTGTCGACAGCTGTGGAGTAATACGACTTCTCTTTTTGGTGATACACAACAGTCCACACGCTGTTGTGGGAATCTTTGAGAGCACTACACAACTCATAGACGACTCCTCGAATTCAGAACAAATCAGACAAGTTTCAGTGGTTTCATTTTGCTCTCTAACCTTCACATATTGTGTGTTTCCTAACAAACCAGGATCTAAGTATCCTCTGTGATGTGCATTCTTCTTTTTCCCTTTACCTAGTTCATCCCCATGCCTGTGCTGTATGGAGTCTTCTTGTACATGGGGGTCGCTTCTCTCAATGGAGTGCAGGTATCATTTTAATTTTAAAAAAAACAAGCCACAGAAAAATTTGACTAAAGAGAAGGAAACTGATCTGAAAAAACAAAACAGCAGCAACAAAAAAACAACTACAATTATCATATTTCCACAAATTAGACTGGTTGCACTTTGAACCCAGGGAAAATGTGGTGGTGGTGGTGGGGGGGGGAATATAACCAGTTGTTTAACCGTCATTTCCTCTTAAAAAATGGACGGTTAAATGGTAAAAACAGACACAGGAAGCGCTGAGTTGGCAAGGGGAGCGTGGAGGATGGTCCAGCTTTGAAGTAGCACATGTAATGTTATGCTTGTTGCGTCAGAGCTGCTGCATGTTTGCTCTGGTTTCCTTCATGTTAGAGAAGCAAGCCTGTGACACCATAGGTGCAGAGGCTCTTTGGATAGAAGACCATCTGTGCATCAGCACAGACAGATGTGCTCAGAGTCAGAGAAACTCAAGCTGCCTAGCTGCTTTTCCCCCTTTGAGGTAGTCACTCAGCACTTGTGTAGGATAAACTGCATTATGCTGTAAATTTAAGGATACCAGCTGGAAATGATTGGCCGAGTCTTCACGCTTAAACATAAAAAATCAAAACATGCTGCAAATGATGCCTGGGTACCTTCAGCAGCCGATATCAGTAAAAGTCTCAGAATAAGGACTTTCATAGTTTCCTTTACTTTAGTTGCAGTGAAAAGCAGTGATGGTTACTGAAGCTCTGTCATATTAATTGGTACCACGGTCTCTCTGTAGTTCATGGATCGTCTTAAGCTGCTTCTAATGCCGGCGAAGCACCAGCCGGACCTGGTTTACCTGCGACACGTTCCTCTCCGGAAGGTCCACCTCTTCACTTTTATGCAAATCCTTTGCTTGGCTCTGCTCTGGATCCTCAAGTCCACCGTGGCTGCCATCGTCTTCCCTGTCATGGTGAGACATCTTTTTATTGAGATGTTGCTAGTTAAGTTTCCAGCATCCTAGAATGTATAGTTTTAATTAATATTAGTGAGTAATGTCTTGATGCACGCTCAATCATCCAGGTAAGTGGATCCCAAAAGGTTGATTCTGTTCATCTGGACGTTTTCAGTGTGAGAAACATTTTGTCACAGAAGAGCCACCTCGTCAGGTCAGGACTCTGCAGACTATTCACACCTACAGGCCAGTGGACACTCTTTCAATGATGAGGATGTAACATCCTGGACAGGGAGGAACGCTGGTTTGAGGGCGGAGTCAAGGAAACCATTAACGTGAAAAGGGAAAGACCATCTCTGAATCGAGGAGGGGGCCCAAGGGTCCATCTGTCACTAGGGCTGCCACAAACGATTATTTTGATAGTCGACTAGTCACCGATTATTTTTGCGATTAGTCGACTAATCAGATCATCATCCATTGGAC